TGTTTACGCACATTAAAACACTGGAAAACATTTTTATCACTTTTGCAAGATTGCTTTGCGTGTAATGACTAGTTATATCTTGTGGCACATGTGATATGTAGATTGTAAATACAAGATTATTCTGAAAATAAAACTCTTGATCTTTCAAACTAGATTAGATTACATCTATGTGACATCGAAGATATTGGCTGTTTCAAATTCTTTATAATTTATCTATTATATTATTATTCTTTATAATTTTTAGAATAGTACACATCACCTCTAATAACGCAATAATAAATCAGTTAGTCAACGATAACATTTTTCTAACATTATAATAGTTCCTACTACTGAACTTTTAATTGTCTAATACACATCACTTATAATCATATGCAAACTATTGTGAACTATTATACTATTTCATTCATTCTATTCATTATGATTGGTCTCTATTTTTTCCCCTCATTGAGCTGCAGTATTTACAGTATTATAAATATCTGAGAATAAAAGTATTTATATTGCTAAAAATAGATGTTTCATTATGTCAACTTTCATAATATTTTTATGTTGAAGAATATTTTTGTATATGCTTTGGCACTAATCAAATTCTTCATAATTGTGCAAAATTTCATTAAATATGCACCAGGAAGAATTTATTATTATATCTATTTTATATCAACAAACATTAATTTATTATGTCACTTTCGTGTATATGGCATCGTGATCTTGAATTAATGCAACAACATAAAGAATATAATGAATTAAAGTATGGAAAAGTTAAAGAACCTTTAATTTTCCTTGCAATAGCCATTTCCAACTCGGCCTCCTGCCTCTGTGCTTCAGGATTTGGTTTTGGTGCAGCCGGAAACGTTACCAGGACTATACTCATATTATCTCTGCTACCCTATAACGAAATTTTAGATTGTTCTGAATACATTCTTGTATAAAAAAAAATATGGATCAATATCAAAAATGTGCAGTTATTCCATACGATTATAGACATAAAAAAAATTAAGAATGTAACTCAGCAACGATGCATAATAAACAGTAATCAAAATTTATACATTATTTTACAAACTAAAAATAATTTTAAATTTTCACATTTGCTTAAAATAAATGATGTAATTATATCTTAAAATAAAATATGAGATAAATGAATAATATATTCTTTTGATATAATCAATAATTTATACGTTTAATATAAACATATAATGTCATAAAATCGCGTCGATTAAGATGGGCAGGTCACGCGGCGCGTATGGATGAGAATCGAATTGCAATAAAGTACTAATTGGTAAA